TCCCATGGCAATGTTTGGAGGTAATGTTCATTCATTTGCTCACTCTTGTTTTCATTCATCCATTCATTTCTCAAATAGTCCTGTGAAAAACCCTTGTAGTGTCAACCCTAATGGGCAGAATGACCTTTGAGTCACCTTCCTTAGGGCCTGTCGCATGGCATGTCACTTAATAGTTCTTCACATTTACTCAGGGGTGATTAAAGAATATCCTAAATTAACTCATGGTTTGAAGTATTAGTACATAAAAACATTTTTTAAAATATAATTTTTATGCCTTATGTTGTGTTACTTGTGCAAGTATATTTAGGCTTACAAAAGTCATATATTCTCATTATTACAAAATGTTTAAACATTCCTAACATATATGATGCAGAGAGTGAGACTCTTCAGGGACTAGGATCCAGCCCTTCCCCCCAAATGAGGGAGGGTCACTGCTTTCCTTTTATTCTCTCTACAGAACAACAATTACATCTACTGTATTTTTATAGATGTTAATGTAAAGTAGCATGAAACTTGTTCTGGATTTCTATGCATAATTAAGTGTATTTAAGATGATTTAAAATAAATTCTGAGTCATACCTCAGCCTTTCTTTACCAGTGAAATGAAATGCAATGTGTCAAAATTGACTTAAATCCATAATCTCTGTGGATGTGCTTTTGACTTGCATATAAGGAAGAACAGGCAGACAAGAGTGAGGCAGCTTCACGCACTGTATTGACATTCAACAATGAGAAGGTCAGAGTAGGGAGTTGATGTCAATATGTTCATCCAGAACTGCAATAAAGCTGTCCCTGCAACTGCAGTCCCAGCTGCCATCTCCCCTCCTTTGGGTGAGATATGTGCCATTCAGACCCTCCACTCCTTTGCTTTAACAAAGGTTTGTTTTTCTTTTCTTTTTAAAATTTTTTTTTTAGTTGTAGATGGACACAATACCTTTATTTTATTTTTATGGGGTCTGAAGATCAAACTCAGTACCTTCCACATGCAAGGTGAGCATTCTACCACTGAGCTACAACCCCAGCCCAAAGGTTTGTTTTTCAATATCGATATAATACTGGATTTCAGATTTCAAAGACAAAATTTCCACACCAGATAGGGCTTTGACAAAAAGACTGGAGATGACAGCTGAGATTTCTGCCACATGAAAATTATGAATAATTGCACGGCAGGTTGTCATCTTCTAAGTATCATAAAGTGAGTTTAGCTCTCCGTTTTGCTTTTTACTGGAGATGCTTTTCTTAGGGGGTTATCACTAGTGGTTTTAAGTATTGGAAAAATGTATTCTCTCTACCTCTTTTTTTTTTTCCCATCAGAGAGGGTAGACACAAACCATAAAAAAAAAAAAAAAAAGGCAACACTTCGTTGGAACAGCGCACTAGATGTATCCCATTTTCCACATATCTTTTCCCAGGTTAGGAAAATCTTCTGTTTGCAGATCTGACAGCAAAGGAACAAAATGAGAGAAAGCAGGGCTTTCGAGGTCCTCTGCCCTGAAAGTCCCCTCCCATGGGAAAAACGCCTAAAATAAATGCTTAGAACTCATATTTCTGCTCCCAACAGGTGACACCAAAGCCAGGTGATATACAAGCCTTCCTAAAAACACAGGAAAGGGTGGAAGGAATCAGCTCTACTACTACAAGGGCTGCACGCGCTTCAAGTGTTGATTTTTAAAAACTCTATTCTGGGGAAATCAGAGAATTAAAAAAAATTAAGAATTATTTCACATGGCAGTTCCTATTTATATTCAGTGTAACCCCACTTAAAATTTTTATCGGTTTTCCATCCATTCCTCAAGTGCTTTCACAGAGCAGCCTGCCAGAGGCCATTAGCGCTGCAGCCTTGCAAATGGAGAAGCTGCGGAGGTCTGATTCACCAGCCGTCATTCTGACTGGCATTTGCACTCACTCAATTCACTTGGCAATTGGCAAGCTCCTCTGCGCTCTGAGTCGTGGTCACTTTCTCTCAGAATAGGATCTAGGGAACAACCTGAGGGATCATGATAAGAAAGAACCATCATGTCTTTGATGTTGGGTGGGATGTGCAAATACGAATGAGAATAGGGTGCCTTAGTACTGTCAAGAGTGTGCTGCATTTTATTTGGGAAATGAGACAAAATCTTCCCTTGATGATCCACTCCATGTGACATCCCAACCCACACTCTGCTACTGACATTTTATCTCCCACTGAACAGCCCGGCTGTTGTAACATTTTCAGGATTCTTAATTTATGTCTTGCAGGATCTAAAATCAGATGGCAGGGACTTTAAGAAAATAACCAGCGTTGACAGGCACCTTTATACTTCAAGAAGCTGCTACACCTTAATGCTGTTAAGAACTGGGGGAAATAGTTTCTCCTTCTTTTTTCAAAATATGGCCAGAAGACAGTGGGATGGAGAAAAGGAGCTGTCCTAAATAATTTAATTTCCCCTTCCCATCTGAACTCTACGAAATACCTTTCTTTCTACCCAGTATTTGCTAGCAAGCTCATTCTTTCTTCTTAGCATGTGGGATTCCAGCATTTATTTAATTTATTTAATTTTTAAATTTTTTCTTCTTTTTAGTTATACATAACAATAGAATGTATTTCGACGTATCATATACATAGAATATAATTTCCCATTTTTGTGTTTTTACATGATGTGGAGTTACATTGGTCATGCACTCATATATGAACATCGGAAAGTTATTTCAGATTCATTCTACTGTCTTTCCCATTCCTATTCCCCCTCCCTTCCCCCTACTCCACCCTGTCTAGTCTGGTGACCCCCTACAACCCCCCCTGCCCCCGCCATTGTGAGTCAGCATCATCCCCACATTAGAGTGAACATTTGACCTTTGGGATTTTGGGACTGGCTTATTTCACTTAGCATGACAGTCTCCAGTTCCATTGATTTACCAGCAAATGCCATAATTTCATTCTTCTTTATGGTTCAATAATATTCCACTGTGTATGTACCATATTTTCTTTATCCATTCATCGGCTGAAGGGTACTAGGTTAGTTCCATAGCTTAGCTGCTATGAATTGAGCTGCTATGAACATTGATGTAGCCATGTCACTATAGTATGCTGATTTTAAGTCCTCTGGGTATTTGCTAAGGAACAGAATAACTGGGTCAAATGGTGGTTCCATTCCAAGTTTTCTGAGGAATCTCCATACGACTTTCCAAAGTGGTTGCACTGATTTGCAGTCCCACTAGCAATGTATGAGTGTATACTTTTCCCCTATATCCTTGCTAATGTTTATTGTTACATGTAGCATTTACTCAATTTAAATTAGATTGACCAAGAAAAGTTTGTGGTAATTAAGATTCTTATATATAGTTGAGAACTATGGAAAAGCAAAAGGTTCCAAAGGTAAACATCAGCAACTTATTTTAAACTTTGTAAATTCCTGAACTGTTGATTGTTAGACTACTAAACACCCATGATGATGATGATGATGATGATGATGATGATGATTACTGCTCCAAAAATGGAAATGATTAGTTTTAACTCATTCAGCCATGGAGAAAATAAGACTCAAACTCAAATATCATATTGTTTTCATTATATGATGACTTTGTAAAAACAGCAATTTTGCATTGGATTATATTATGAATCTGCTGAAATCTTACTCTCTAGGGTAGTGCTGAATACTTGGGAATTTGGGTCTTAGACTTGCCAAAGTGGGATGATGGTGTACACCATGGCTCTGGAGTGCTCAGCCTTGATACTCCCCTTTTTAGAACAGATTTATATCTATTTACCTATAATGTTATAGATAACATGTTATAGCTAAGTATACAGAATCTTGAGCTCGATGACTAACTCTGCTACCAATTGTTGACCTGGGACAGGTGCTGCATTTCTCTTGGCCTCCTTTTCCTAACTGTAAAATGGAAATCATAATATCCACCTCCTAATGTAGTTATGAAGATTAGATGAGTTAATGGAAAATTCTATATCAATGTTAGTAGCATTCATCAATTAGCTACATGCGCTCATAAATGCACTATAAATACACCTATAATGTGTCTTTCTAATCAGAGCTTTAGGAAAGAAACTCTTGTTTCATCCTGAGTATACTCCTTTTATGCAATATTTTGCCTATAGGGGAGACTTAAAAACACCTCTACATCGAAATATACGAAAACGGTAGTCCAGATCTTTGTGGTTTAAGGTCCAGATTTCACAAATGATTCTAGGCACCTTCTATTCAGCGCGTTTATCTCAGCGAGCACAGCTTGGGAAAAGAATGAACAACCAATTCCCAGAAAACTCAAATTAGAGTCAAGATCAGAGTGAGGAACTGCAAAATTCACATCTTGTCGACTTAAGTTTTAGGTCACTATGTGTGTGTCCTCTGCACGAAGCCCAGTAGGCTATTTGTAATAATAAATATTGAGACGAAACCCCTAACAGCCCTAGATACTAAAAGCCTCTCAGCAGGTGCTCCAGATGTTCTTAGGCGCTGCCCCTCTCAGGTTGCCAGGTTAAGCCTGGCCCACCTGTCCCTACTCCTAGGCAGAAAAACAGCGGGGCGCTTCACTAGGTGATTTAGGTCGGGAGGAAAGAAACAAGACTAAGAGCAAGCAAAATTTGGCACAGAAGGGAAAGCTTCAACTAGACGACCAGGTAGGTGGAAGCCCGCAGTCTCGGCTATCTCCGGCCCTGCCCCGCCCTCGGCCCCGCCCTCGGGCCCGCCCATTCAGCTCCATGCCCCGCCCAGATCCCGCCTCGCCTGACCGCCGCGGTGCCTCTGCTGCTGGACTTGGTCCTCGAGGCGCTTGCGCGTTTTTTAAGGAGTCTTAGTATTGCCTTAATCTAAATAGGGGGAAGAGAAACCTCGTACTTCCCACGAACTCCGACACAGAAGCCAGTATGCTCTTTTAGAGCTGGACTTGAATCTCTTGGACTTATGAACCCAGCTTCTGTTCCCCTAATGTCGCTTAAGAAAGCATGTTTTAAGTTAGGCACTCTCTAGGCAGCCCGCCTTTAGGAGCGGGGTCCTTCCTCTTGCGCCTTGGGACCACAAGAGGGGAGGCGGGGTCCTTCTCTGGGGCGGTCGCGCAGGCAGCGGCTGCGGGAAGCTGGACACCAGCATCATGTATTATAAATTTAGTGGATTCACGCAGAAATTAACTGGAGCATGGGCTTCGGAAGCCTACAGCCCGCAGGTACGGGTCGAATAGCACCGACTCAGGAGAAATGGCGGCTCACATCCCCAGGTCAGGCAGTCGCCAGGAGAGGCATCTATCTGCCCACGAGTCGGTTTGGTTCAGTTCAGTCGAGTTCATTCACACCTCCTAGCACCTGTCCACGCCGACTTGCAGTGGTCCTCGAGGCTCTTCTTGTGTGGCTGCCCTTCCTTCAGGCGGGCTTGACCCTGTGCAAAAGTTCGGTGTAGCACACTGCAAGGGTCAAGGTGACCCCTAGGGTCCTTGCTTGTTTAAGATGGATGACTCGGGTCAGAATGTAACCTTCCTGAATTCGAGGTTCGGCCCTTTTCCTATTTTGAACAAGTCTGGCTTTTGGCCTTCCGGACCTCATTTTGATACCCCTTGCCACAGCCCAAAAGGGGGCCTCAGGCCAGCAGGAGATTGGAGGATGGGGATGACTGCACCCTTGAAAGCCGTGGGGTGGCAGGGCTCATAGGATGCGGATGATTGGGAGACTGAGCCGGTTCCTTCAAATGTTTGGGTAGCAGGGGAATTTACACGCAACGAAGTTCCACTTTGTCCACTGTGAAGTGGTTGACTGTGCACTATTTCTGAACTACCGATGTCTTGCAGATGCTACAGCTTGAGATGAAGTATTTTAGAGTCCCGTACACATTTGGGCTCAAGTACTTAATTGTATTGCTTTAGTTGTGTGACCTTGGCCGAGTTGCTTCATTTATTTTGAGCTCAGTTTTATACCGTTGTAGTGCAGATTGAGTGAAGTGTGTCAAGTGACTGGTGGTTTTGGTAGATAGTTGGTTCTCCAGAAGCCGAATCTGAGATATCATCACATTCGTTTCTTATAGAGGAGTGTGAGAAGGGTTGGTAAGATACGCAGTTCGAGAACTTGACCGGAATAGTAAGGGGCACAGATAGGTGGTGTAACAATTTTTTATTGTTGCCTCTTGCTTTTTTTTTTTTTTTTCCTTGGTGGGGTACTGCAACTTGCTCAAGGGAAGGATGTTTAAGAATGATTGCAGCTGAGCGTGGTGGCACATGCCTGTAATCCCAGGAGTTCAGGAGGCCGAGGCAGGAGGATAGCTAGTTCAAAGCCAGCCTCAGCTAAAATGAGATGCTAAGCAAGCAACTCAGTGAGACCCTGTCTCTAAGTAAAATACTTAAAGATTTCTTAAGCTACATTGAAAGAAAGGAGCAATATTATGTACACTTTATGAATGTAGATTTCAGAGTGACTGTGACAGGTGCTGTCCTATCTGTGTGTGTGTGTGTGTGTGTGTGTGTGTGTTATAAAATGTATATATATCCTGGCAAATAGGTGATCTGATGTTGCTAATTAGGAGGAGTACTTCAACTTTTTCTTTCTTGGAACACTAGCACACTGTAAAATGAAGATATTTGTAATGTTGTTATTATGTAAAGTGAATAACCTAACATGCATTAAATAACCTGATATGGAAAAGCTGGTTCTGTAACAGCAGCATAGAGACTTGTAAGTCAACTTGATGGCAAGTAGTTGTTGGGAGGGTATTTTCCAATGGTTGGTTGAAAAGGTTTTCCTTACCTTTCTGTGTCCTGTGCCAAAAATAAATCAAGGCTAATAAACATATGAAAAGAATCTTAACATCATTAGTTATGAGGAAAAAGCAAATCAAAACTACAATGAAATTCTGCCTCACATCTGCCAGAAGATCTATAATCAGAAAGGAAGACAATAGCAAGAAGTATTGGTGAGGTCATAGGGAAACTAGAAACCTCTGACATTGCTGGTGAGAATGTAAAATGGTGTAGCCACTTTGGAACACAGTTTGGCAGTTTCTAAAAAGGGCAACATAATTTTACTATATGACCCAGTAATTATTTTCCTAGCTAGGATGGCAGAACAGTATTCCAGGGAAAGAGAACTGTGAAAGGGAAGGGGTGGAAGAGAATCATTGAGAAGATAAGGTTGGCTATGGAGGATAGTGGTAATCATGAAGGGGCTAGGATGATAGGACTTAATTTTGTGAGAAATGAGTAGGGACTTAGCAACTTAATGCAGAAAGTTATAGTAGTTTGTCCTTGTTGGTGAGAGGAATGTTGGGGATGGAGAAGGAAGACTCTAAGACCACTGCGAAATGGGAGGATGGTGGTGCTTTCAACAGACAGGGAGCTCCTGATGGGCTGGTAGGTGAATTTTGGACATGCTCAGTGTGGTGTTAGAGGGACCTGAAGGCATTGATGTCCAACTTGCAGTTAGAAATTAGTAGAATTGGGCTAGGGGTGTCACACAAGGCCCTGGGTTCAATCCCCAGCACCATGAAGAGGAAAAACAAAATGAAGCAATGCAGACTGAAACTAGTTTCCAATTCTAAATCAGAGTGAAAGTTTCACTGGTTTCAAACATTTAAAAATTTAGGATAATTCTTTTATTTCTCCACCCTCCTCTCCAAGCCTAAAAATTAGAAGAACAAAAATTTTGGTTCAGTCAACTTTTTTGGGGAAAAAATCCTGTTTACCTTTCTCCTTAAAAATAAAAAAAATAAAAAAAAATTTGGAGCAGTTAGGGACTAGGGGAGCTCACAGGTTGAATGCTTCCTTAGCATCTTTGAGGTCCTGGGTTCAATCCCTAGCACTTCTCCTCTACAATTTTTTTTTTTTTTTTTTTTTTTTTTGAGCAGATAGACTAGATGGGGCTGGGGTTGTGGATAAGTGGTAAGGCCACTTGCCTAGTGTGTGCAAAGCACTGGGTTCGATTTTCAGCACCATGTATAAATAAATGAATAAAATATAGATCTATCAACATCTAAAAAAAATAGACTAGGAAGAACTCAATTACTGTACATGATTAGGGTTGAATGGCCCTTAATCAATTTTAGATGTAGGGATTATGTAAATAGCTGGGAGATTCAGTGTTAAAAAGTAAAGTCTGCGATTTCTACTTGATTTATGGTCCACTTACTTTAAGAACAGCTTTCAGTTGTTTTATCCTTGCTGTGGGAGGTGTGGAGCCTCTGCCAAGTCTGATGAACATGACTTTGGCTTATTTAAGTCTGGTAAAGCTATAGCCTTCCTTAGCTGACTTACACATTAAACACATATTTAGTGGATGTGCTCTCGTGCCAGTTGCTTTTCTAAGTCTTGGGAAATAGAAGCAATGAACAACACATGCCAGAATCTTGGGGGCTGTCACTGAAATAGGGGGAGACACAGTAAATAAAGTAGAATATAAGAGGACCAGGTGCTGTAGTGCATGCCTCTAATCCCAATCGTTTGAGGGGCTGAGGCAGGAGGATCTTGAGTTCAAAGCCAGCCTCAGCAAAAGTGAGGCTCTAAGCAACTCAGTGAGACCCTGTCTCTAAATAAAATACAAAATAGGGCTGGGGATGTGGCTCAGTGGTCGAGTGCCCCTGAGTTCAATCCCTGGTACCAAAAGAAAAGAAAAAAGCTGAATGTAGGATTTTATATTTTGAGCATAAAGTTTTTTTTAATTTTTAAAGTAATTATAGATAGATAACATACCTTTATTTTATTTATATTTTTATGCGAAGCTAAGGATCGAACCCAGTGCCTCACATGGGATAGGCAAGCGCTTTGCTACTAACCACAGCTCCAGCCTGACAATAAAGTTATTCAAATAAGCATATGTAAAAAGATTGGGGAGAATATACAATTATTGATAGGATAAAATGAGATTATAGGTAACTTTAAAATTCTGTATTCTGAACTTTTCTAATATTATAAATGGAAATATTGAATTAAAAGTGTTAATATGGTTGATACTCCCGTTTTCAGATGGTACTGCTCAAAAACTTTGTGGTAGTTTTGAGTCACTGGATGGGTCAACAAACACAAAGTTAGGTATAATCCTTTCTAAAAATGTTTTCACATGAGTCTTGTCCAAACATGAATTTGCATTTTGGAGATGCTTGGTAGAAAATACTTTTAAATTTCTACATTCAAGGTGGAATAATCATTAGGAGACAATACAGTGAGCTCACAGAATGATTGAAAGGAGGACCTAATATTCTCCAATTCAAATAAAGCCTTGTTATCACAGTAGCAGGGCCTCTTTTTTTTTTTTTTTTTTTTTTAATCTCTGACTTCTGAGTCCCTGTCTCTACTTGAGTATTACATGCTAAATGTAGGGCCACGCCTTACAGACCAAAATGGATTGTGTTTTTTAAGCAAATGGAAATGTAGGGTATGAGTAGTGAATGCAAAAAGCCAGGGCTCTGGACTTTGTAGAGGCTTGAATTTTAAAACTTGGCTCTTTGTTTTCATTTTGTGACTTCAGGCAAGTTACCTTCTCTGATCCAGTTTTCTCCTCTGTTAAATGGGAATGGGTTGCTGACAGGACTAAGCGAGGTAATGCTTGCAAAGTATGGTACATAACAAAAGCCAGATTGATAATTAGCTGCTATTATTCCATAACATTAATGCCCATTACTAACACACTGTGTTAGTCCATTAGTCACCCAGAGGAGAGAAGGGGCAGTGAGGTCCCTTATGAAGTCTAACCAAAAGTTCATAAAGATTATGTTTTACTGTATTTATTTCTGGAAGCTGAGATTGGGTCTTTGTTGTCTTTCCTGTCTTTTCTATCTTACTGGTAGGGAGTTCTTGATAGAGTTTGCTCTGGGAAAACTGCTTAAGGTATTTTGTCTAAAGTTTGAGGACCAACTAAAGACCTATTAATACAGGTTTGGAGAGATCCCTTTCCTATCCTTCGAGTGTGGATGAATGGCTGCTCCAGACAGCGTGCTCCTTGAAAGTTTTGTTCAGATGCCCAGACATACTTGCAACTTACTGTTTTTCTCTTTTTCTCTGCAGGGATTAAGGCCAGTGGTTTCCACAGAAGCACCACCTATCATATTTGCCACACCAACTAAACTGACCTCTAGTCCCACTGGTTATGATTATGCGAGGAAGAACAAGGTTCCAGAGCTACAGAAGTTTTTCCAGGTGAGGGATGACACTTAGGAACAGAGAAGCCTATGAAATAAACAGGCTTAAAAAATTCCTTTTGAAACTTGAGTCTTAGTCTAGCTTACTACCCAATCTCTTCTTTTTTAAAAAATATTTATTTAGTTGTAGATGAACACATAATATCTTTATTTATTTTTATGTGGTACAGAGGATTGAACCCAGTGCCTCACACATATGAAGCAAGCACTTTATCACTGATCTACAGCTTCAGCCCCCCAACCTTTTCTTTCTTTAAATAGCATTCCCTTGCTTTTAGTTTGAGTCAGAAACTAATAGAAATTTATATAGATAAGAAAGGGAAAGGTGGTTACTGTTCTCATCAGCTTTTAAACATACTCAGGCTTTCCAGCTATATAGATAGTAGAATGGCTCTTGGTCATCCATTGCATAGAGAAAGCAATAGCCTGTGTATTTGTGTTTGTAACACATACAGTGATATTTGGCAATAAGTTTTAATTATTTTTTGCTTGCTTGATAATAAAATTCAGTGAGCTATTAATGGAAATAGAGGAGGTCCTCTTGAGTTAGCTGATGAACAGAGAGAAGCCAGAATTGAAATTTCAGATATTCTTAATCTACTTATAGATAATTGAGAAATGACTATATCACAGATGCCATAGGAGTGACAGATCCTGCTACTGCTCCTTCTTCCCCCTTCTGAAAAATATGTCTAGATTAAGGCCATCTTAGAGAGAGAGTACTTTTTAATCAGTTCAATCCCTTTTTCTGGTAAATAAGATTTAAGGGGGCATTTGGAATCTTGAGATCAGTTGGGGAGGGCAGAAATGATGGAGGCTGCAAATTAATGAATTAAACATCTTGTGGAGTCTTATTATTAAATGGGGCCTTAACTATTTGAATACAGTTAAATACAAAGTGGACTTGAAACTGTACATTGAACTGGTGTGCTCTGACTTGGTTCCCTCATGATTAGAAGCCAAACTATAAACATAGGATTCCTGGGGAGTGTTTCTAGTGTTTGCACTTTTTGTTTAGCTGTTATTGCTTTTGCTTTTTAAAAAGCTCCCCAGTGCTCTTTTCCTGGTTAAGTAATATATGAAAAATGCCTTAGAAATTTGGAATATGTTGTGTGGCTTCAGGCTTTGTTTTGGAGAATAACTTCAGATATATAAACTTTAGCTACATTTTAGAGAATAATAGTGTTTTAGTCAATGAGCATTCTCATGGATTAGGGTTTTTCCATTGTTTTGTTTACGGATAGTTTCACAGTAGACAAATTTGTTCTTTATTAGCCTAAAATTATAATCTCTTTTTCTTATAACCATGTCCTTGTTAATTTTTGCTTTCAAGAAATCTGATGGCGTGCCCGTCCATCTGAAACGAGGCCTTCCTGACCAAATGCTTTACCGGACCACGATGGCGCTGACTGTGGGAGGGACCATCTACTGCCTGATTGCCCTCTATATGGCTTCACAGCCCAAAAACAAATAAGTTAGGCTACAGAGGACTGTGTTGTTTTTTTTTTTTTTTTGCATAAACCTTTTGAAATTTCATTGCCCCCCCCCACTTGGATGATTTACTTAACATTTTTTCAAAAAATAAGAAAGAGAAAGATATGAAGACAATATTTTGGTTTGCTTATGAAATGCATATGGCCTGTCAGATGTCAGGCTCATTTGACAGTTAAAACTATTGTTTAAAGACACACACTGCACTGTGTTTTGGAGCTCCTGATTTCCCTGGAGGTTCTGGATGAAGGTTGCACACAGGCTCATTAACATAAGTCTGTGCTGAGGTCCTCTGGGACTTGGGAATGCATTTTTAAGCATGGAGCACAGAAGCCTTTCTGGATTTGGATGTGACTGAGAATGGAAGATGGAATCTAAGGCCAGGTGCATGAAATGAGGGGTTTGAGTCAGTAGTCACCTTGGGAATTTTTCCATCTTACAGCAAAATGTTAATAGCAATTATTTGCAGCCTGCCTGTATTCATTGGGCAGTTTATTTCAAAGGGTTATATGCCTCATCCCAGATCTTTAGTGAAATTTTATGTGTAATTGTTGTGTACTCCATCACGGGAACAGAGAATACCTGTTTAGTGTTGCACTTGAGATTGGTGTCTGTCTTGTTAATGCATCTGTGCCACAAATTCTACTTTATCTTTTAAAGACTTGTTATGGCTTTAAATTATGGTTTATTTTGACTATGGAATAAATATGTGAATGAAAAATTACAAGTTTGAAGTTCTTTTAAATTAAATGACCTTTCAGAATAATTGGAGGACACCAGAGGCATCTTAAACCTGAGTCTAATTTCTTTTTTGTTTAATTAGGCACCAGGTAATCTTTATAAAATGGTTCCTCAAAGTCAAGCAATAGGAGTCTAATAGCATATTAATGATTACTGTATAGTTCCTTATAAGATTCCTGCTTGTTCCTTAGTGAAATGTACCTGTAATGCACAATTCACTTTAAAACACTAATTTCCTATGCTGTCATGACTGATAGACTTCACTTACTGTGTATTAATGCTGAAAGAGGTAGAATGTTATATATAAGGTAGTGATCTGTATCTTGCCATAACAAAGATGGTGACCTCTTTTCCCAATACTGGTATTGAACATAGGGCCATTCTACCACTGAGCTACATCCCAGCTCTGTTTATTTTTATTTTGAGACAGGGTCTTGCTATGTTGCTGAGGCTGATCTTGAACTTGGGATCCTCCTGATTTAGCTTCCTAAGTTGCTGGGATCAGTAAGGGTTTGAAGTCTAAAATATTAGGGTACGATATTGGGAGTAAAAATTCTAGGTGGGAGAATGAAATAGAAATTCAAATTCAAGAAGAAATTTCTGACCCTTCTAGTGCTATGGTTTGAATGTCCTCATTCAAACTCATGTTGACATTTAATCCTCATTGTGAAGTAATTAAGAAGGTGAAACTGCGGTGTTTGGAGGAGGTCTGTGAGGAGATAAGTGAGGTTAAATGAGACTGTAAGGATGGATCCCTAATCCAGTGGGACTGTGGCTTTAAGAAAAGGAGGAAAGACCTGAGCTAGGATGCTGTCTGGCCATGTGATGCCCCCCTTCTTGGATATCTGCCGTCCCACTAGCAAGAAGGGCCTCAATAATCTGGCTACCTGTTCTTCCCAGCTTTCAGAACTCTGAGTAGATAAAGACTTTATAAATTACCCAGTCTGTGGTTTTCAGCTATAGCAACAGAGAATGGAATAAGACAAATAGACATTTGTTTTCTACGTTTTTTTTTTTTTTTTTTTTTTTTTTGTGGTACTGGAAATTGAACCCTAGCTTCAAATATACTTGGCAAGAGTTCTACCACTGAGCTGCATCCCCACCAGACATTTATATTTTTAACTAAATTAAGGTAGGTATCCATTTGCAGTGGTATTTATATCCCACTGAATACATTTATAAATGATTTAATAGTTTAGCCAATATTTATTATACAACAAATTATACTTCTCTTTTTTCTGGAGGGTGGATCATTGAGGATTGAACTTGGGCAGTTTACCACGGATCTACATCCCCAGTAAGTAATTGTTTATAGATAGGGTCTCACTAAGTTGCTGAGGCTGGCCCTTGAACCTGAGATCTTCCTGTTCTCAGCCTCCTGAGCTGCTGAATTTACAGATGTGTGCTACCATGCCCAGCTCCAAAAATTACTTATTGCAATTTAAATTTAGGAAAATTTTTGGATGGTAAGCTTAAATAGGCAAACAGAGTGATATCTGTAATCCCAGCTATTTGGGATGGTGATGCAAGAGCATTGCAAGTTTGAAGCCAGCCTCAGCAACTTATAACATAAGACTTCATTTAAAAAAAAAAAAAAACTGGGCTAGGGATGTATTTAAATAGTAGAGTGCTTTCCACATGCTTGAAACCCTGGTTTAATGCCCAGAACTGCCCCCAACCCCCAAAAAAGGGCAAAAAAAAAGCTATAAATATATACTTTCAAAAAAAATTTTTTAAAGTACACAATAAGAAATACAGGTAGAAGCTGAGCATGGTTGCACATGCCTTTTATCCTTTGCCTATTTAAGCTTCCCATCTAAAAATTTTCCTGTTTAAATAATTGCAATAAGTATAATTTCTGGAACCAGGCACAGTGGCATACACCTGTAATTCCAGAGGCTTGGGAGGCTGAGGCAAGAGGATTGCAAGTTCAAAGCCAGCCTCAGCAACTTAGCAAGACCCTATCTCTAAACACTAAAAAAGGGCTGAGGATTGGCTGAGTGGTTGAGCACTTATCTAGCATGTGTGAGTCAATGGGTTCGATCCTCAGCACCATATAAATAAATTAAAAGATATTGGGCCTATCTACAGCTAAAAATACTTTTTAAAAAGAAAGTGGCTACTTTACACTTGTTTTAAGAAGTAACCACTTACCCTTCCCTTTTTCTATCAGCCTGACTTCTTTCAGTTTCTGATTAGCCTTCCCTCTCCCTGCCTCATCCTTTGTGACTTTGGTATGAAGCTTTCAATGCATGGCTTTGGCTTTTAGGACATTAGCCAACTTTTTATTTGTCTACTTTTTTTTCTTTGTGTGGCTTGGGTAGGCTTTCCTGGTGTGTATGATGTTGAGGTTTGTAGCCCTCAAGGCATCTTTCTGATTTTTCAGATGGTAGGAAGCTTTCAGACCTCTCACTTTCTGACCCATTGATCAGCAACAGCTAGAGATGACACCTTTGGCATTAACGATTGACTGTGAGAATTTCTGACATTGTATGGTCCTGGTGAATGATAAACTTACTTGATATTTTGATTGATCCATCACTGATCATGTGCCACAGACTGCCCATGTCAGGATTTGGTTGAGAAGTGGAGCCTTGCCCTTGGTCTTCTGTCATGTTCATTGATTATCATTCTTGTTTCTCCTCCTGGACATTTCAGATGCCTGGGCCTCAAAAATGAATAACAGTCTTGCCTTTGATAAGTAAGCCTGGAGATTGTATTTCAGGAAACTCCTTTAAAAAGCATATCCGGGGTCCTTTGGAGGGTGCCTGTGAGTCTCAGGGTTGTATGGAGGAGCTCTATAGCCAGCCCTCACATGTTCCTGTGTGAGAGTGCCCGTGACTGGTAGTGTTTGGTTGCTTTACAGCAGGTTGTCCCTGGGTGGAACAAAGCTTATGTCACACTAGCCACCTCCTAAGTTAGGAGGGGAGTGGACAGATCATTTGCAGTCTCCTCTGCTGTTCACAGCTGTCACTTGCATAAGCTTGAACTTGAACTCCTGGCCTTTGTGTGGCTCCCAAGTTGCTGGTGTGTGGTGCTGCTGCTGCAGGCTGTGTTGGGATTGGGACCAGATGTTGCTTGCTCAGGTTTGGGTCTGTGAGAGCTAATTTCCAAGGGAACTGCTTGCAAAATGCTAATGGAGAATGGGCTGAGCAGAATGACTAAGAATAGTGTGTGTGTGTGTGTATGTATATATATATATATATATATATATATGTTTTAGTTGTAGTTGGACACAATGCTTTTATCTTATTTGTTTTTATGTGGCGCTGAGGATTGAACCCAGGACCTCGCGCATGCTAGGCAAGCACTCTACCGCTGAGTCCCAGCCCCAGCCCAGGAACAGTATTCTTTAGATAACATTTTTTTCCCCTTGTGTTCTGACTCATTCTACCTGGGACTTCTTGCATTCCCCTGCCCTGACTTTGTCTCTGGTCACTGACATTTGTTCATCACATGGCTTTACTTCAGGGCCAAAGCACGGGTCCTTCACGCTGCCCAGTGTGTTCTAGCCAGATTGGAATCTTTGCTGACTGTAAATATCACTTTCTCATGGAAGCCAAATGAAGCAGCCTCGGGTTGTAAGAAGGATGGCCTTACCTCCCAGTTAGTGGGGAAAAGTTTTAGGAAGTGACAGGTGCTCAGTGCAGTAGGGCCTCGGCACAGCTACAAGGAAAAACAGGTAAGTTAGGGGCCTGGGTTTTCTAAGGCAGAAAAGTGGAGGTTGAGGCTGTGCAGGAATGTACCTGGTGCCAGGGTGAAGTGTCAGGAAGTTTGTGCAGAAATTGGGGTCTTTCTGAGGGCATCTCATCAGGCAGAGGGCTCTTCACACATTCACTAATCCTAAAAGGAGAGAGAGAGAAATGGGGATGGGGCAGTTAGGCAAGGGTAGGGTGAAGGGGCAGGGCCCAGGGTCTGCTCAAAGGTCTGGCTCTGCCAGCTTAAGTCATTGTGCGTGTGGAGCCCTGGTTGCTCAGTCAGTCTCAGCCCCCACAGATTATGGCAGTGCCTTGCCCCCGGAGGCATGATGTTCCAGAATCCATTAATACCTCATGGTATTAATACCCACCCCCGCTCTGTGTTTAGGCTACCAAACCTCCATGCTATACAGCACATTAATTTGAAAATTGACTTGCAGCTGAATGAGTTGATGTTGATTTCAAAGTTCATTGATGTTTAATTAGAACCATCTCAAGACTAAACCTGCTCCCAGGAAATTATTCTGACCGAATAATTAAAGAGAATAAAGGTTAGATTTGAGTTTCTGGCTAAGTCTGTGTTGCATTCAACATCTCTAAAACATGAATTTCATTAACCTTTCATGAACCAACATTAAATTGCTTTCAATTAGTTGTCATTCTAATTAAAGTACAATCATACAGAGTTGCCTTTGTTTGTCGTTGGTGGCTGTTCCCTTTTCTCTGGAATGACATCCTCTTGAAGCAGTCATTTGGAAAATCATTCTCTAACTTTATGTGTGCCTGCCTACCACGGCTCCCTGAGTTGGGACCATTCATTGAGCATTGGGAGAGAACAGAGCCAGAGAAGTAACCACACGTGCTGCAGGAGTGGCAGTAAGTCCTCATTGTTGGCGGGTGGACTGAGGTGTGTCATTTGGACCAGTGTGTCCTGTGGCAGGGATGATAAACTTCAGGAATAGGTGGGGTAGCCCAGGTGAGTTTGGGCTGCCTTGAGGAGGTTTTGGGTCCTGAGGAGGCATGGCCTCTGGCGAGTCTTGGGTAGGTCAGGATGGTAGTGTGATGTAGGTCATTCCGATCCTTTGCACCTTGGGTGTGAGTGGCCTTGCTCCTGCCAAGTGATGGATGTGAGTCCTCCTCCAGGTCTGTCTGCAATCTCAGTGTCCCAAGAGCCAGTGTGCCCGGGCTCCTGTCCAGTGGCCACAGCAAAAGTGGGAAGAGAAAGACTATGACATAGTAAGGACTTCCTGTGTCCCTGCTGGGAGATTTACTTATTCCTGGGCAT